GGATCATGCGTTCGGCCTTCCCATTTTGAGAAGATGTGTGTGGGGAGAAGCGGAAAACTATTCCATTAGTGACACAAAACAATTTGAACGGATCATTATCAAATTCTCTACCGTGATCACTCTAAAAGGATTTTACGGGTCTTTCAAATTGAGTCATGCCATATGCTTTAAAGTTCAAGAAGGATTGAAAAGCTTGTGATTTAAATTTTAAGGGAATAGTCCACACAAAATGGGTAAAATCATCTAACAGTAGCAAATAATATTTGTGACCATTATTACTACGAATAGGTGATGTCCACAAATCAACATGAATAATCTCAAAAGCAGTAGAAGTAGTACTATTAGAAGAATGAAACGGCAAACGAACATGTTTTCCTAATTGACATGAAACACAAAAGATGGAGTCATGCTCTTTATTACTGGGAATTAAATTTCTAGACCTAAGTAAACTTAAAATAGATTTTCCCGCATGCCCAAGGCGGTCATGCCAAGTAGGTGATGAGATAGCAGTAAGAGTCGTGGCAAGACAAGTAGATGGATTGGTAGTGGTAGTGATAGGATATAAGTCCCCCGAACTATTGCATCTCATTATTACTTTCCCCGTACGAGGGTCCTTCACAGAAAAATCAAAAAGATCAAGTTCAATTAACACGGAATTATCAGAAGTAAATTTACGAACGGAGATAAGATTTTTTAACAATTTGTGGAGCTAATAAAACATCACGAAGGACAAGGGGGAGGGGGGTTGGGTAAGGCAAGGTGATATGACCATAACCTAAAACTGGAATGCGATGACCATTACCACCTAAAATATGATTATTTTTGCTCAAATTAAATAAGGGCATGAGAGTACCTGAATTGTTGGTCATTTGAGATGTCACACCCGAGTCCATGTACCAAGAGTTGTCTTGCGAAAGGCTCATAGTAGCGAAAGAATTCCCCGACTCGGTAGGAGTCATGGGCGGCCCATAAGCCGGAGCTTGGTAAGCCGAGTATTGAGCTTGATAAGCTTGTTGCGGATACTGGGTTGGATATGCGGGCCTAGGGGGTGCAGCACTGCCCCTTTGTTGATATTGGGCCTGTTGTTGAGGAAAGGGGTAAAGAGTAGCTGGAGCCCAATAGTGTTGTTGTTGTTGTTGTGGTTGGGCCTAATTTGGGGCAGGGGCCCATTGAGGTGCTTGAGTGGAATTAGAAGGTTGTTGCTGCTAATTATTCTCACGACCACGCTCCCGACCCTTTCCTTTATTTTTGTTGTTGCCGGCTCGCCACCGCCTCTGCCGGCTCCACCGCCACTACCGGTCCGCTGATGCTGCTGTGGTTGTGACGTCGGAGTTTGGGTGGGTGGCAGTTGAAGCTTGTTGCGCAACGAAGGAGGTTGCGGATGTGCCTTGATCACTTGATCGTCTTTTTTCCTCAAGAAGGAGACGAGACCTAGCAGACTCGAAAGAAGGGAGAGGGTCGGTCTGTTGGATGATCGTGGCAACGGTGTCGTAATCTGTGTTGACGAGACCTGACACAAGCCGAATAACATGCTTCTGTTCTGACACAGGTTGATCTACGACAGCGAGTTGATCTTTAAGCATCTTCAACTGTTGACATAGGAAGTAATGTCAGAAAAATTGGACAAGTGAAGTGAATTAAACTGGTTTTCAAGATAAACGACCCTTGTATTTTTGCTATCTTGAAATAAATCCTTCAATTTATTCCAGAGTTGTTGAGCCGTATCGCCTTTGCAAAGACGGTTGTTAGAAGGTCCATGGAGATCGTCTCATAAATCCATTGTTTGAAAATGAAGTCTAGTCTAAGCCATAAGGAATTGGAGATGTCGGATGGTCTAGGGGTTGACGAGTCGATAATGTGATCGAGAACTAAAAAGGCATGGCATTGAACTTCAAATAATTCAACCCAATTGAAATATTGCACCTTTTCCCGATCAAGAATTAAGGGAATTGATCAATATATATAGAGTTTTACAGGACTCGTAATCCTATTACGATAAGGATACAAAATATATACAAATATTATCTTAACCTACGACAAATATTATCATAACTATAATATCTATCAATCCTAATACATAAAATTAGCTTCAAAGTATGTATGTTCAATTGAATAATTTAATACAGTAATTTCTTTCTAATTCAATTGAATGATTGAGCTCTACAATAATTAATCTAATGATGTTCACTACTACACAAAATCCAAGCTGATACATACGCAGTACTACTGATTTACCATGTCCACCACTTGTATACAAGTCCGCACATAGACTAGCCTCGTATCATCTTGAGACCGGTCACTAGATCATAAGCACCGGCGCACGGCCATCCTTCCTTGCATTAACTCGACTCATAGTCAAGCTAGATAGCATGTATCGTATGAACGTAAGATAAAATATTGCACCGTCCCATGCAAGAATTTGGTCCCGCGCACTATTTTTGGTAACAAAGTACTCATGTTGAGGATGAAATTAGCGGCTACCACTAAGTTTTGTCCACCACCAATTTTCTTGAGAATAAAGCATCACTTGCACAGTTGCACGCATACCGGATTTGTGGATCAAATTTTGCCTTAGCGCATGCTCCTCTAGGATCTATTGCACACAAGATATGTATTGCACTAGTTACGTGCATATATATTGATTAATCGAAAGGCTCGTTGCACATACTCATGGTGTATAAACAATCTTATACACGAAACAAGTGTTGCTAATCATTTATCGACTTGTTTGCATGGTAGGTATTAACACATGCATAGGCCAGAATCAATATTAGATATTTAAATTAATATTCCGTGGGTGTCATGATATCCATAATAGACGAAGGTGAATGATTGTTATCAATTTGAATTCAACATTTTTTTTTTTAGGAATTTAAATTTAATATAATTATGTAATCTTATGACTTTTGACTACCACAATTTATTAAAATAGACGGCAAAGATTATTAGTTTTTTGATTTATTTTTAATTAGTAATTTTAATTAAAAATAATTTTTTGATTATTTTAAATATATTTATATCTTCTAGAAATTATTTTTAATATTGTTGAAATTCTGGAAATAAAAAAAATATATAAAATAATTAAAAAGTGATTTTTAATTAAAATTACTAATTAAAAATAAATAAAAAAAATAAACAATCTCAGCTGTCTATTTTAAAAAATTGTGATAGTCAAAAGTCATAAGACTACATGAGATTTTTCAATGTAATTGATGTGATAAAAATTTAAAAACTACGAAGTATACGTTTTGATCATATTTTTTCATTCACATACAAGAAGTTTTATTTTATTTTATTTTATTACAATTCGAGGAATTTTTCTGCTTCATTTCTTTAGAATAAATGAATATATTCAAAATATTAACTTTCCATACTTCAATTCATACCTTTTAATTTTTCGAAGTATATATGTGCGTTGGTGATCATGAAAAACCAAGTTCGTACTTAGTATAGAGGCCAGGTATATATTTGTACTAAAAATAGCATTATTGAATCCTGATCTTTTATAATGATGAATTTAAATTGAGCTGAACTGTACTATAATAATGAACTGAACTATATGCATTGAATGAAGTTTATTACATTGTGAAAATTATTGAGCTGAAGAGTAAACTTGACAAAATTGCAGAGATAAATAAAATTGAGTAAATTAAAATTGCAGAGATAAATAAAATTGAGTAAATTAAATTATTCGAATGAAATTATAGTGAGAAAACTGCTTAAATTGAATTGAACACAATCGAAAATTTGAAAATAGGTTCAAAAGAACGGGTCTTCGTCGACTGTTAGTTTTAACTACTAATGTGCAAAATGGTTACCTACTAAACTAGAAAGAGGAAATGACCCGTGACATCTCGTTAATTTATAACATTAGTATTGACTTGACTTGTGGTAAATTTATTAACTATTACTAAAATAAAACATTGTTAACATTATCTCTCCTCAAAACTGTATACGTGTCGCTTTCTTATGAAATTTTTTCCCGCCTAAAACCATTGATGATGTCATTTTTTGTGATAGTTTTTTTTTTTCTTTTTTTTTCTTTTTTTTGTGATACTTCGTAAACAAGCTAATTAAGTTTTTTCAACAACTTTAATCTAGAAAACCGAAGTATAGTAAATTGAATAGCAAATGTATTCCTTTTTTTTTTATTTAAAGATCTATCCTTCCCTCTACTCAATTCCTTAACACTAATATTCAAATGTCCAGAAATTTCCTAAAATATTCAAATTGTATTTCTTTTAAGAAATCTCCTTCCAATGAATTTATTAATTGAAAAGATTCATTGTATATACGAGTTCTATACTATAATTTTTTTATTAAAATCGTGCATCACAAGGGGATAATCTAGTTGTAACTATTTCAAGACAATGCTCTTGAATTCCTGCAAGGATTATTGCTCTTTCAAGTACATACATATGCTTGATTATACACAAGATTAAACCTTTAATCTCATTCACTATATTTTGAGGAAAAAAGAAAAATCCATTATACGTATAAAGTAGTACGAGTAATACATTCAACCTTCTTATCTTTGTTCTACTCGTCATTTGTAAAGAGTTAATGAATTATATAAGACCATCTTCAATGGTGAGACTTGAGAGAGTTTTTTAGGAGAGAGAGAGTATTTTTTTAAATGATACCAATAAGTTGGTATCTAAACTTAGCAACTCCAAAAGAAGTTGCTAAGTTTAGATACTCAAATTTGAGTCTCATTTGACAAAAAGTGTGGGCCCTCTATCAATATTATAACATATTTTGTATTTTATTTAAGGTTTTTTTTTTCTTTTTTTTTTTTTATTTTTTTGAAAAACTTACAATATGAATTAGGTGGACCATAAATTGAAAGTGACATTAGTATACTTTAGGGAGTCTCACCATTAGGAAATTAGACTCCACATGATTTGATAAATTGAGAAGTGAGTTGGGTATCACCATTGAAGGTAAAAAACAACTCATTTTGTATTTCAATACTCGAAGTTGAGTCTCACCAATAGAGATGGTCTAATAGCACATAAGATGCGAGTTGAAATTCATTATAAAATATTTTCCATTACATTGAACACATCGAGTACATATATGATTTAGGAACCTCGAAACATATGAAAACAAATCCAAGCCATGCAAGCAATGGACTTAATTTCCTTTATGAAGTACTCTTTTATTCTGTTTGTACAAGACATATGTTGCCATGCATTATTGTCATCATCAAACAAAAAACAATTTTAATGTAGACCTTGTGCTTAGTCCCCACCACCTTCGTAACCTCTGTCATATCCACCACCTTCACCGTGTCCATATCCACTTCCACCACCAGAACCTCCACCACCTCCACCTCCTCCACCACCACCGCCGCCGCCACCACCTCCTCCTCCTCGTTCGCCTCCTCGTGATCCACGACCTCCTGATCTAGACCCAGCGCTTGAGCCAGCATAGGAGCCTGCTTCAGAACCTGCGTTTCCACCTCCACCTGAGCTCGAGCTTGAGCTAGATGAAACAGAACTTGAGCTAGAACTTGAACCACCGGACCCTGATCCAGCTCCAGAGCCTGACCCACCACCGAGACCTAAGCCTAGCCCTAACCCTAATCCGATCCCCACACCACCAAGGTCTATACCCAATTCCTTCCTAGCTACCCTATTCTCAGGTGTCTCAATCTCAGCAGAAGAAGTTGTAACAAGTAGGGCAATGAAAAGTGCAACACATTTTAGACGAGCCATGTTTATCGTTTCAAAACTACCAAATCGATCAGTTGATTGTGAAGTAATTTGAAAAAGTAAAGGGGCTATTTATAGAGCCATGGCATATGATAGTGCCAAAGCAAGGTGTTCTTACTTGGTGTTTGATGATTATTAGACATATAGTGATCGAAATTTCTAGAATTCTTTTATAATAAACTACTACTTCGTATTAAACCTAACTCGTGGTTACAATTTAAATTTGCCGCGTTAGGGTACTAATATGTGCATCAAAAATGGTCCACGCACTATTTTTGGCTTGTTGACTTGTTTAGCCTATGTGTGTTTTATTAATATAAAACACTTAATTTCATACGTGCTATGCCATTTTAGATTTGAATATGAAGTTAGCGGCTACCACTAGGTTTTGTCCACCATTAACAATTTGCTTGCAAAAGGAAATTGTGGTTGACATATTGCCATCTCAAGGTTTATTTTAGGATGAGTAACATGCATGTATTAATCAAACTTAATAGAATGAAATTATATGCGGAGTACTAAGCATGTCATTTTGTGTTGTTCTTGCTCCCTTTGTTTTGTATATTAGTCGCAACACTTTTCTTTTACATCCGTTTCATATTAATTGCAACACTTCTATATTTGAAAAGGATCCACTATTATTTTTATAATTTCTCTCTCCCACTAACCCCACTTTCACAAAATTTTATTATTTCTCTTTCCTACCAACCCCACTTATATTACTTTTTATTATTTCTCTCTCCTACCAACAATACTTTATATTATAAAAAATTCTCTTTTGAACCCCACCCTATAAATTTTCTTAAACTTTGTGAACACCCTAGTGTTGCAATTAATACGAAATGGAGGGAGTATTAGTTAGTGATAGGGGTCGACCAACAGAGTAATAAAATATATATAAAAGAAGTGGAGTTGGTGAAAAAATAAAATATGATAGTTGGGAGGAGAAACAATCTAAAAATATTAAAGTATGATAGTTAGGGGGTCCAATAGGAAAGAGAAATTAGTAAAATATTATGAAAGGTTTCCAAAAAAGGAAATGGAGCAAGTGATAAAATACGACCGCAAAAGAAAAGTAGAGTAAGTAATAAAATATGGAGGGTCGGAGTATGAACTTAAGCTTATCTAAACTTATTAAAACTTATTTTAGTTTTTTTTAGAAGAATTAAAACTTATTTTAGCTGTATTAGAGCTTATTTTTACTGAACTTATCTTAACTTTAAACTTATTTATGAGACCTGAAATAAAAGGAAAAATAGTAAACAAAACATGACTATTGTAATCAAGATGTAGTTAGGATCTATCGCAATGTCTTCCTTGATATTTGTTTTTAAGGAGAAGAATTCTTCACATCAATGCACGTAAAATGATGAAGACCAATGCAAGATTCCAAATTGAAGGCATTGGCACAACATGATATACATAGAACTTTCAAGTCATATTACTCCGTATAGTTCACCAATTGACATTTAAGTAGCCGAGTTCTTTCTAGACATTTTGACATATTTTGGTCGGTATAATAACAACTCTAACATCATTTAGCACATACAGGACTTAAAAGACGAGCTTTTAATGTTTCATCGTGTTAATTTAATTGTAATAGGGTGAGGGAGTAGTTTCTCCTTTCTTCTGCTGTCAAAAAAAAAAAAAAAAAAAAATGCTAGATTGAACGCACTTAAATTATTCTTAGACTAAACATGTGCACCAGTGATTGAACAACTAACAACAAAAAATGGTATAAAGCTATACTTTCGTTGATCTTTAATACTTGAGAAATACTTCGTACATACTAATTTCGATAGGATAACAATCAATAGAGGAAATCCACCAGATTAGTTGTGCATCACTTAATTCAGTAGAACGAAAACATGATTAAGAAGGCTGTCATTGCATACTGTCCACTCAAGAATTGTGCATGACTGGATCCGAATGTTATTTATAATTATGGAGCATTAGAATCTTGGACGTTTTGACACAACTTTTGAAATAATTTTATTAGTGTTTTGGCTTGCTAAAATATTAACAGCTGCTAGTTGATGAGAACTAATCTTGGTCCTTTAATTTACGAACTACCTCAACGAATTGAACAACTACTAGCATAGCAGTACAATAACTAGTTTAGGTAAATAGCCGGCTCAGTTATACATTTTGACATACTTGTACATGGTTTAGTATCAAAGACTCAAAGTCATTTACAATCACTTTTCATTGTAAAGATCGAGTTGTGCTGTCGATTTATAAAAATAAAAAATATCATTACAATAAACACAAAATTTATAAAAATAAAAAATATCAGATGCAAAGCTGAACTTCTCAATTTATAAAAATAAAAAATATCATTACAATAAACATAAAATAATACATGATGTTATTTGGATACTGGAATAATAAAACATATTGAAATGTTGAAAACACAAACAAGCAAATAGACTTTTCTATGGGACACCTTATTTCTTTTTATTCTGTTACATTACTCACATACAGGTGCTATATCTTAAAGGATATTAACAGTAGAATGTTGACGACATTTCATGCAGACTTCAAATTTAATTTAGTCTTCGCCGCCACCATATCCTCCACCATACCCGCCACCTTCACCGTGACCATACCCACTTCCTTCACCTGAACCGCCGCCGCCGCCGCCACCACCACCACCTCCACCGCCTCCTCCACCACCGCGGCCTCCACCTCGTGATCTTGACCCAGACCCGGCTCTTGACCCAGCATAGGATCCTGCTTCAGAACCCGCATTTCCACCTCCACCTGAGCTCGAGCTTGAGCTAGATGAAGCAGAGCTAGAGCTAGAACTTGAACCACCAGATCCAGATCCAGCACCGGCACCAGCTCCAGAGCCCGACCCACCTCCGAGTCCCAATCCTAGACCCAAACCTACCCCTACACCCCCGAGATCTATACCCAAGTCCTTCCTTGCAACCCTACTCTCACCGAATATAGCAGAAGTTGCGACAAATAGGGCAAGGAAAAGTGCAATAGATTTTAGACGTGCCATTTTTATTTTGTTTCAAATATTATGATCAAGTCAATTCATAGTAAGGAAATAAGGATGAAAGAAGGGCTATTTATAGTTGCCAAAGCAAGGTGATCATACTTAGTGTTTTGATGATTCAACATGTATAGTAACAGTTCTTCATTATTTTACTAGTTACTTAACCTAAATTTGTGGTTGCCAATCGTTCGCCGCATTATGGAACCGTCCCATGCAAAAAAAAAAAAAAAAGGTCCCACGCACTATTTTTAACTTGTTGACTTAATTGTTTGCCCTAAATCCCTAACTTTTAACTTTTTATTTCGTAATTTTCTTTGAGTTTTTAAGCTTGTAAGATGAAGTTAGTGACTACCGAATCACTAGGCTCGCTCTGTCCTCCATTATTGCTGAGGATTATTCAATATATTTTGTTTAATTTTACTTACATTAATTTTCATTATGCATAATTAATAAAGAAATTAATGCGAACTCAACTTTCAATTAAGTTGTCTTTAGGATGATTAAATAGCATGCATTAATTATTATTTGTATAAATTAAATAATCAAACCAAAAGACATAAGATCGTTCCTAGTGTGGTCAAGAAACGTGTTCTTAATTGCTGTAATTGGGTCTCTTCAAATTAAATCCTTACACGTGTTAAGTAAATTATTATTTTGTACTCTATAATGTTTTCCTCATACAATATGATTTTCAAATACAACTGCGAAATTATAATAAAAAAATAAACAAACTGTGTGAATGTGTATGAATGTGTATGTGATTATTGTACATATTTTTCTGAATAAATATTGACATATCATTACTCAGTTGGTGTTTATAGTGTTTTAGTGAAGCTACATACTGCGATAAGGTGGTTGCTATTCACTTTTTGAGTCTTAATTAGCAACCCTTACTACGTCGTACATATATAGTATATGTTGGGTATGGCCCAAATTTTATAAGCCCATTATTTTGGTCAAAGTATTATCCATATTATAGAGGCTTCCGAAATAATATCCTACTTGAATTTTCTAGAATATTATGGACACAAGAAGGATGGAGAATTGAGGAAAAATCTAGAATTATTAAATGCCAATGAAAATTCTAGATTTATGTGGAGAGTTTAAAAATATCCACATATGTGGAAGTTTCCACACAAATCTTCCAAACTCCATCTACACCTATAAATATAGGTCAAGGGCATTCAAAACACAACAACAAAACACAAAAACACAACACAAGAAGCCATACAAAACACAAGCCTTTCTACAAAAATATCCTCCCTCCTTGTAATATTCCACTACTATCATAATACTCAATACTCCTTGTGAGTTTCTTATAGTGAGAGTTCTCTTGTAATAATCACCCTCAAGGGTTCTTGTACTCTCCTACTTTTCATATAGTGGAATAAAAGTGCTCGTTGTTACATAAAATCGTGTGTTAATTTATATTAATTATCTTGCCAATTATCAATTCAATTTATACTTCTCAATCAAACATATCTTCGCTTCCGCTGTGCATTCACCAACCCTAACAGTATACTTGTTGAAATTCATTATAATCTCACTTGTGATTGTCCCGTCTCAAAAGAAGAGGAGAAATAGTTCTTTTTTATAAGGTTGAGGAGTTAGGGTAACTTTATTGCTAGTGTGGAGTAGAGTTTGGAGATAAGTCTCATGAAACACTACTAAAAATTAAGGTTTTTGCGACCGCCTCTAACGGTCGCTAAAAATAGCAAAAAACGGTCGCTGAAAATAACTGCGATCGTCAACGGTCGTAATAGGGTGGTCGTTATTCACCTGGTCGCAAAAAGAAATTATTACGATTGGGTGACGGTCGCAGATTTTTTGCGACCGTTTTTATTATTTTCAACGACCGCATGGAAAACAGACGCAAATATTAATTGCGATCGGTTTAAGCAGCGCTCGCAATTCTGAAATTTAGCAACCGCTTTTGGCCGCGCTAAAAGTTGTAAAAAAACAAAAAAAAAAACGCCACCCATCCAAACCACTACTTGTACTTCACTCAGCCCCACCACCATTGCCACCCTAACCAACTCCACCCGCCGCCACTTCCCACCACCCACCCTAACAACCTCTATCCACCCAAAAAACCCTTAACCCAAAATAACGAAAATAAAAAAAATTTTAATGTAATCAAACAAAAATTAACGAAAACAAAAAAAAAAATCAACAAAATATGAACAAAGTTCACGAAATTTTGAACAAAATCAACAAAAACTAAATTGAAACCCAAAGTCAACAAATTCAAACAAACATTAATGAAAACTCAAAATCAAACCCAAGATCAATGAAATTCGAACAAAATATGAACAAGGTTCACGAAAATTCGAACAAATCCAGCAAAAAACTCAAAATCAAACCCAAAATCAATGAAATTTGAACAAAAACTCAAACAAAAATCAGAAAAAAAAAAATTTAACCAAAATTTGTAGAAATGTAAATATGAAAATTCGAATAAAAAACGAAATACAGCCACAAATATGGAAAATAAACAAAAAAAACCAAATTTTAAGAAAAAATAACATACCTTTCCTAATATTTCTTCCTCTTTGGGTTTATATGGTCAAATTTGACCATAAAAGCTCTACATTTGGAATTTTTACGGTCGAATTTGACCATGATAACCATAATTCATTTGTTGAAGAAAATCCGAACACAATAATTCGTTTGGTTACAAAAATTTGAACACCAAAACTCTAGATCTGGAAATGAAGAAGAAAAAGAGAACGAAAATGGAGGGGAGTGAGATGCGAACGAAAATGGAGGGGCGTGAGATGCGAACAAAACTGGATATGCGAAAATTAGGAACGAAGATGGAGAACTATAATAGAGATGTGAAAATGGAGAACGAAAATGGAGAAGAAGGAGAAAGGAAAGAGAAAAGAAAGAGAAGGAGATGGAGGAGCGTGAGAAAGGAAAAAGAATAAAGAGAAAAGAAAGATGAGGAGAGAGAGCGGCGTGATAAGAGAATATTAGGGTTTGGAAAAATAGGGATCCTTTTATACCGTATTCTTTTTTTAAAAAAAAAACCCTTTTGCGATCGCTTTTAGCGGTCGCACTGTTTTATAAACGGTCGCAAAAGAGTTATTTTAATTTAGAATTATTTTTAATTGTTCAAACATCCTTGCGACTGTTTAAAAGGCTAAAAACGGTCGCAAATCTGCGACCGTTTTCAAAACATTCCTAATATTGTGACCGCGAAAAAATTGGTCGCAATTTAACCGAATTTTAGTAGTGCAAGTCTCATGCGTTAATATCATCAAAGACTCATGTGAGTCTTGGATTGAGTTTGGAAAATCAAAAATCATGTCCAGACTTTGCATGGGGAACAAATTGACACTACTACATTTTTGACCAAATGCAACGGCCTAATAAAGGCTAATACAACGGTATTTTAATTGCCGTTGCAATAAAGTAGACTATTGCCACGGATTTAAAACTAATGTTCTTAGAGGTAGAGCTATTGCCACGGCTCTAAAGAAATGTTGCAATAGCCTAGTTATTTTAACAAAAATGAGAGCTAATGCAACGGTATGTGTGTTGTATCATGAAAATTTTAGAAGCGCGCATTTCTTCCCTCTAATTTTTTCACCAAATATTTTGAACAGCACATGTTTATTCACAACTCATTCTCACGGATTCTCACAGTACCCAATCTACTCATTCTCACATCACCCATTTTCTCCATTTTCCCCATCTTCTCACATTCACATATTTGCTTCAACTCCAAAATTACTTCAAAATTCTAAGGTGAAAATCACTCAAAAAAATCACTCAAAAATTCTTAGAGGAAAATAAGCAAGTAAATTTGAGGAAAGTAGACGAAGGCGGCAGTTAGGAGGTGGTGGCTGATAGCGGCACACAGGAACGACATTTTGCAGTAGCAACGATGCCGGAGATAATATACCTGCTCAGGACAGTCCATTTTATATTTTCGACCAGCGATTTGTGTATCCTTTGATCCGATGGCGTACCTCAGTCTCTATTAGTTTTCATCTTTCGAAAATGTAAGTGTTCACCTAAAATTAAAACCCTAGATTCAAATTCACATCTTTGTTTTTTTTTTATTTTTTATTTTTTTTATTTTTTTAATTTTATACTGCTCAAGTATTTAAATTTGTTGGTACAATTTTACATTTATCTTGTTTTTCTATTAAATTTGAACACCGTAATAGTTTCTATGGTTTAAACTGTCGGAGAGGAGCAATTAGGAAGAAGAAGCAAAAATAACTCCTTTCAGTTTTCTTATAATGAAAAATGTTGTGTTCTAAGAAATTGTGTGGTATGACATTAATTCGTATAATACCTTTTCAATTTTCTAATCACCTGTTGTTCTAAATACTGCTAATAATTATTCTCAATGATTATTCTCAATATATTTAGATTTGAAAGTGGTAATGTTAAACACTTGAACATGCTTCTGAGGTAAATTACTTGTGTTTTTTATTCATTAGATTTTTTCTAGATTATTGCAATTGGTCGATAATTAATTTACAATAGATGTTAAGTGGTGACTCTAAACCTGTTTCTCTTTTTCTGCCTGGATTTCAAACCATTACAGAGTTGTATGAGTTTCTCTCAAGCCTCAACATAACTGACCAGATGCATACTAAATTAGGTATAAATTGTCATGTATTGGATACAAATGTGTTAGCATATTTAATTGTGAGCATTATCTAAACCCGTCAATAATAAGTTTGATACACTAATTCTTAAAAACAGCCAGTCCATTACCATTAATTTAGCTTAATGTTACATTAGAAGAATAGCCTTCTTTCTCTCCTTTGGCTTAATGTCAGGTTTCCACTAATTGATTGTGAATACATTGATTGATAGCTCTTGGGGTGTGTTAGCCAGCGGTATTCTCATGTTATAGACAGCATCAAGGTCACCCTTATTGATGTATATATTTATCATTTACTTGTCATTGCTTCTCTAAGCATCAGTTATTTGCTTGTGATCTCAGTATCACCCTAATTACCTCCCTTCGAAACACGCCATTGAAATTTTGTCATCATTTGATATGTGATTGAGAGAATATGCATAGGATGCTGCATTGTGGAGGTGGTTGAAGCATTAGCCACAACACATAATCAAACTATTGCATAGGATGCTGCAATTAGGTGGAAGGAGAATTCTGGTTTCTGTGATCTTTTCTTCCTATATGTGTGTGTGTGTGTGTGTCTGTACTCTGTTTCCCCACGCTTTGAGATTCATTTTTTGGCTAAATGCAAAAAACACAAATAAATAAAGAAATATAAAGAGGAAGCGGGTGTGATTAGAAGAAGTTACCAGGGAAGTCAATGACCTTGCCTTGTACTTCATATGTGATTTACGTGAATAAATGGCTAAGTGAGTTTTCTTTTTCTTTTTTTTTGTTTCCCTTTCTGTACTTCAGAATCACTAAATACTGATCTAGTTATGAGTATCTTGTCCAAGCTAACTTATTATTTGTTGAATTCCTTGGAGTGTGCTGATCTAGGGGCTAGGGTCTTATACTGCAGTATGTAAAGGGGGATAATAAACTTTAATGTGCAGTTGTGAATTGTTATCTGTGTGTAATCTGAACTCTTCTTGGTGACTAATATTCTCAACTGAGAAAATATGAAGCAAATAGCAGCAGACTAGCAGTGGCTGAAGCTTCTTCAATTATTGACTTAGAACAATATGAACTAATTTAACATGTCCTACCATTGATGAAAGTTATGTACTTCTTGTTACAAAAGCTTGTTTTTTAAGGAGAGAAATTATTACCATAAATTGTCCAATGTTAAACTTGCGAAGGATATATTCAAATTAATGTATTTCATAATATACTTTTACTTGAAAATTGATTAGCTATACGAACATGATATGTGACAACATTGATATGTTGAAATGACAGTCTAATCTATTATGTTTAAAGTAACATTATTGGTAATCTTGAGCAATGTCTCAAGGATTTTATGTTTCTTGGGTTGAAGTACACTTACAATGTCTGGAGTAAAATCAAAGACATTGATCAATGGGATTGCTCAATATGTTGCCACAAGGTTTTAATGGTTAGATGTGAGTCCGATGGTTAAAGTGTAAAATCTAGATACATTTGTACTTAGTTTGCAATGAATGTGAAAAATGATTATACTTATCTATACTAATATATTAAAAGGCATTACTAAGAAAGTCTACGTGCCATGTAGTTGTGATTAATCCGAATAACATCAATGAACTAATGTGGGTAATACATAGTTGGTGTTTCATGTGATGGTGTTGGTGTGCTAGTTTTGTCTGCTTCTAAGCTAATTAGTTTTCGATGATAAGAACGAACTAACTACTATATAATCTGCTACTGCATCTACTCTATAATGTTGCTACTGCCTCTGCTTTATAATGTTGCTGCTGCCCCTGCTGTAATTTTGCTGACTTGCTGCCTTGCAGACGATGACAACTCTCTCTACGGGGCAGTCCTGCTAGCTGCTTGCTGGTCTCTGTTTTGCTGCCTGTGGGGCTGCTGGGTGCAGGCTGCTGTCATGTAGGTTCTCTGCTGGTTCAGGCTATTGGGTTGCCTGGTTGTTGTTTTTTCTACCTGTCTCTGCTGTTCTGAGCTGTTGCAGGGTTGAAGAAGGCATCCTGGTTTGGACTTGCTTTTCCCTCTTTGCTTCTAGTTTGTTGCCTAGTTCTATTGCTGTCTTGTTTTGGTTTTGGCTGGTTACTGCTGCTACTGTTCCTTTTACTGCTGTTGTTCTGTTTTTTCTGTTCTGCACTGTCGGCTGTTGCTGTTTTGTTCTGTCAGCTGTTGTGCTGCTTTCTGCCTGGTGCTATGCATGCCTGGTTCTGGCTGCTGTTGTTGTTCTGCTGAGCTTGTTGCTGTTGGGACAACTTGCTTTGTTGCTGGTCTCTACTTCTGTTGTTTAGCTGCTGATGTTGGTCGCTTGCCTCTCAAAGATTGTAGTCATTGTAGTTTGTGTTTTGCTTGTTGTTTTTGTTTGTAGTTTGTGTTTATTAGTGAAATTTAATTAATTTAATTAGTGAAATTTGATTTTGTAACTTTTCCCTTTAAGGGAAATAATGTACAAACCTTCAATTTATATTAAGGAAATTTCAATTTAATTGTCTTAATTATTGTTATTATTATTATTGGCATTAGGGTATAGGGAACCGTGACATTAGAGTATAGGGAACCGTGGCATTAGGTATAGGAAACCTTGGCATTAGATATTACAGCTAATGCCGCGACAATAATGTTGATGTTGCATCAGGTGTTGATCTAATGCAACGGATCATTGATGTCGTGGCATTAGGTGTCATATGCTGTTGCATTAGACCTACTGCAACGCCATCAGATGCCACGGTACATGGCCGTTGCATTAGGCCTAATGCCACGGATTTTTACGCCTAATGCAACGGAAATGAGGGTTGCAATAGGTCAAAAATGTAGTAGTGTGCTGCAACATTTGGTCATGAGCCAGCAATCAAAACTTGCCACCTCACCAACCAAAAGTGATGGCAACTCCATCCCAGGATTCCCAACGGCTAGTTGCATGTAGTTTGAATGTGCTCCAACTGCTATATTATTGCAACGGCTAAATCCTAATCAATTTGTATATATACATATGTTTTATGTATATTTAGTGTCCAAAAAAAGGTATATATATTTAAACAAAAAATATATAAACAAAAAATTTCCTCCTAAAAAAAATAATTCACGGATCCAAATCAAAATTTCGAATTGAATTCTCTTTTATCTTTATTACAAAATAATCATCAATTTCGTAGTATTTTAAAATTATCGTTATGTATTATAAAATAAATTAGTAATTATCATTGTGTATTATATCGTCCATAACAAGTTTTATTATTTATTAACTTAAATTAATTTTATCTGAATTATCATAAATGAGTATTTTTATCTGAAATAAATTTATAAGACATGAATCTATATTAATAATGTTTACAATAATTTTTAAAAAAAAATAATTAAAGATATTATTACAAAAAAAATATAAATATATTTTGAAAAGGATAAATGAGTTTGGAGTGAGTCTTGGGATACTGTGTGAATATGGAGATATTCTTGTATAAATCTGAATAATAGAAAAGCATTTAAAAGTGAGTGGAAAGTTGATGTGGTAGAATTTGGAGTCTGGGTTTGGGGATAAACTCACCCTTACTCCTACTATCACCAATTGATTTTAGAGTATTGAACCTCCTTTGGGCTTATAATAAGTGGACCAATTTGTCCTGCTCCTTGTTTGAGTTGCCCAATACGAGTATTTGTGTCCTCAATACTCTCGTAGCTAACTATATGCTCACCCATCATGTACTGATGGGATTAGTCCAGTCAAAATAAACTAAGTCTATCTGATAGAGTATAAAACATATTCATGAGCATCAACCATCAGCTCAAGCTTTTGGTTGAGATGGCCATTTAAAATGGTATTAGAGCCAGCGTGACACAAAGGCCCTCGGGTTCAAATCTCATCCACCCCTTCCCCCCCACTTTTAAGTAGAATATTTTGCGTAGTCGACGCAGAGTATGCGGAGGCCCATGTGCATCCACATTTTAAGCCCAAAAGGCTCTCATATAAGGGAGAGTGATAGAGTATAAAACATATTCCTTAGCCAGTTTAAGTTTTTGATTGAGTTGGTCCATTAACACTATTGAACCAAATTCTTTAAAATTAACGTAGTACTCTTATACCGTAGCAATCTTAATAAAGATACAAAATAAAACCTATTTAAAGGGACCATATATTCTGTTTGCTAATAACATAATCATATGAAATTTTGTTTAATTCGTCTCACATAGTTATTAATACATTATACAAAAATTGTGCATTATCCTTATCGTTGCTCCAATTTATACATATATGAGTCTGAATAAAAGATTTATATAGGATGCAAACTGAACTTTTCATTATAAACTTTTTAGACGTCATTACAATGAATAACACAGCGTAAATAAGAACACAAACTATAGCTAGCAAAGCAAATCGACTTTCTACGATAGGAAACGTTTAATTTTTATTCTATTTGTATACTCCTTAAATTACATAGTAGCAGATGTTGCCATGCATGGTAACTTGCATTGCTAGTCATTAAACGATAAACAAGCTCTCCAAAAAGCTCATTTCCAATTAAAGATAATCTTTTAGGGTACGTAACACAAGAATGTCAACTTAATTAAATGTCGTAGCTTAGACTTTACATTTAGTCCCCACCACCACCATACCCGCCACCATGTCCACCACCTTCACCATGTCCATACCCACTTCCTTGACCTGAACCACCACCGCCACCACCACCTCCACCACCTCCACCGCCACCTCCTCCACCACGACCACCACCTCGTGATCTTGAGCCTGATCCAGCACTAGACCCGGCGTAGGAGCCTGCTTCAGAGCCAGCACCTCCTCCACCCGAACCTGAGCTTGAGCTAGATGAAGCAGAGCTTGAGCTAGAACTTGAACCACTGGATCCAGCACCAGCACCGGCTCCAGAGCCTGACCCTCCACCAACACCCAACCCTAGGCCTAACCCTAGCCCAACACCGCCAAGGTCTAAACCCAAGTCCTTCCTTGCAATCCTACTCTCACTCAATACAACAGAAGTTGCAACAAGTAGTACAATTAGTAAAGCAATAGATTTTAGACGAGCCATGTTTTGTTTTGTTCAAATATAGAGAAGAATGAAAGGGATATTTATAGTAAGAAAATAAGGAAACCTTGTGGTAAGATGCTAGCTAACCATTAAATAAAAGTAGAGTGACGGTTTTATTTTTTCGGTACAAGAAAATCAATAAAAATTTTAGTATATGGTTTTATGACATGTACATTTGTGAAGGTTGTGATATGCCATGTGATTTCCACTCAAGGAATTATTGTGATAGTGGAATGCATGAAAATGTCCATTATACTATAAAGTTTGATTATCATTGTAAGTTTTCGCATGCTCATACATTTTTTTTTTTTTACACAAAAATAATAAATCTCTATTATTTCACTCCATGTATGTAATCCTTATACGATTTCAGTAGTAAGCTTTTTAGCAGGATGGTGAAATCTTATCTTGAATAAGGCCTTGTTACTAGTGATTTCCCACTCGGTCGGTATACCAAGGAAGTGGTAGGGGAAAGCATCCACCGAACAGTCTAGACCTTTCAAGACTGCACGTACTCCATCTATCTTAAAATAATTAACGTTAAATTTTTGCTATTTATAAGGTCCAACTTTATAATCTTTGAATGTAATTTGTTGCCAATATAGATAAAGTAAACTGCAAATTGGAGTTTCAATTCATAAAAGTACTATATATCTTGATGAGATTGTTATTATACTTAACTTTATTCGAAATTATTTCAACTTCTTATAATTCTTATTAGGGTGTGTTTTATTCATTTGATTTTCAATTAACTGAACTTATCTAAACTTATTACATTTAATATAGGTGAAAATGAGGTGAACAGAACAGACCTATGCACTAAAAGATTTGTAGGACAAAAACCTTGATTTTATGAGAAAAGCCAAGCCCAACTTGTAAAGTTCAACTAAATATTTTTTTTTTCCTTTCGATAGACCTTTATAATAGGATCAACTTAATTCACTCTTAAATGGAAGACAATGATAGAAACACAGTTAATGTTAGAGGGTTCTAGTGAATATAATTATATCAAATATCATGATCCATGACTTAAAATCAATATATATAAAAAGGTCAACATCTCAATTCATATTTTAGGTATCGTCGCTTTTAAGACTTTAACAAACTAAGCTAGTTGACATCCATGTATACTTTTTTTTTTTTTTTGCTCTGCATACAATTAAAAAATGTATGAAATGGATATTTTAAGGATTTGAACAAGGTATGAAGATTGGCGAATTTAGTTATTATTAGCTAGGGATCGGATGGGGTGAGTTAAGAGTGTGGAAGGCTACCAAAACCAAATTTCAAGCCTCTCTTAAAAATTGTAAACGACAAAATAATTTTATTAGGCTATATAGTTTGCTACATATGTGTAGATTTAAACTTGTAGCTCATCTAGAAAAGTGAGAGAGATCTACAAATTTGCTCTTTTCATTTCAACTTGGTTGATATATACATGTTTTTCTTTTCAAAGGTTATTTTGAAAAAAATATTCCACTTGCTACTTGCCATATATAGCAAGTGCTATACTACGTATTGTCGTAAAGTTGCCTAAATTTTTTTCCTAAATCTTTTTTTTTTTTTTTTTTTTTATTGCTTAGAGAGTCACAATGGTGGGTGATGAAAATCGATCCCTAAATCTCTTGAAATTGGAAGGAAAGCTCTAATTAACCACTTAAGCTATGGCTAATTCTTTTTCTTTCTTCCAAAATCTAATGTGAACACATGGAGTATAAGCTGGCGAACATGCCTAAGCAAGCAAGCAAAACTGTAGAAGTTTTATCTCGATGAAAGTAAGGCTGCAAAGTGGAGTAAACTCGAAATAACAAACTTTATGCCAAATTGCCACATGCAAGGTCAAAACTTCAGAGGTGTTAGACAATCATTTTTGGAGTAGCTTCTACTATATTGACCCAAAAATTAAAAAGCTAAAAGTGTTCGTAAAATAGTGGTGCTTGATAATTTTTAGATTTTAAAGTATCGTTTCTCTTTATTTCTTGTACTTTTATTATATTTAAATATACTTGTTAGGCAGGGTTGTATCGATTTACAATCTTACATTTATACTTCCTCATATATGGTGCATTACTACATGTACCTACAATAATAAAAATTAAAAATTAAGGAAAAAAAACACATTGTACTTTGAATTCTCCATTTAAGTGGCTTCGAAATAAGATTTTTTTTTCGTCTAAAAATCATCAAACATCATCTCACAATCTAGGGTTAATCCTCAATTAAACTGTCACTATAGTATGGTTTCAAAAAAAAAAAAAAATTGTCACTATAGTAAATTTAATTATGGTCCTTCTAATGGGGATTATTCAGCTTTTGGTTACTGAAAGGTTTATAGCAGATCAATTTTATTGATATTCTTAAGCTTGAAAGTGTTTTTTGGAACCTATTTTGACAATTAATCTGAATCAAATTTAATGTGTTGCAGGCTGTTGAGACTTTAGTTTTCCTTTAAATTTTTTTGTTGTTAAATATCAATCAATAACATAATACTAAAACAGACACCAAAAATGACACGTGTCACTTTTTGGTGTTGTTTTTTCCCTCAAAAACTCCGTCCTTCCTTTTTAGCAAAAATCTTTTATTTTTGAAATATTTGTATAACACAACTATAACAATATTTTATTCCTAATCTTATATAACTGTATTCCTTTTTATTTCGTGTTCTATTTACTTAAAATATTTACACTAGATTTTGAGACTTCTTAATTAAGGGAGAATATGCTATAATTTAGAAGGTTGAAATATGGTGGAGAGTATAAAATAACGGAGCAAAAAATACAATATTAACATTTAAATTACCATTATATAGTTTTACAATAGTGGGGTTTATTGAAAAAAAAAAACATTTCAATTCACGGTGTTGATTTGAAATCTTATGAAATAATAATAATAATTGAGTTAGTTTTTTGTTAAGTATTTCTATAACAATTTTACCAACTAACTTTTTTTTTTTTTTTCCTTCAAAAAATCTATTAACTATTACTAAAACAGGTCATGCTTACCTCAATCATTTTGGACATATGTCAAGTTTTCATTCAAAAAATTCCCGCCAATACAATATATGATGTCAGCTTTAAGTTTTTTTTAAAAAGTTATTCTACTTAGCTTGTGTTTTTGAAGAACATTGTATAGTATATTTATTTTTTTTCGAACTAAATTAATTCATTAATTAAAAGTCATACAACATCTACATTGTATAGTTTTTAGGAATAACACGCATCATTAATGTAATATAATGTATACTATGTTTAAATATTTTCAACACAACTAATCAAATATATATATATATATATATATATATATATATATATATATATATATATCTCAATTGTAGTTTTAATAATTTTTTTGCCTTATTAGTTCATCTTTCTTATATGCAATGCATTTGTTTATTTCACATGAGTTGCCTCATTTTTATATTATATCATAAATTAATTATGGGAAAAAAAAGACTATTACTATCATGCATCGCACGGACACTAATATAGTATTATTCGAAATAAAACTTATTACTAATGAGAAGTTAATGCGTGAGACAAGCTTAAAATAAGGAAAGTTTCACCTTTATAAATGATATAAATTAATTACAATGATATCATCCAGACAATTAACCATGTCATCCAGTCAAATTAATCCTATCATCTAGCCTAGATACTAAAAGATATCTTCCAAAATGATATCATATATCCAATTAATCATATTATATATCCAGAAAGATATCATTCAAACAATTAATCATATTATATATCCAGAAAGATATCATTCAAACAATTAATCATATCATCCAAACAATAAATGATATCGACTAACCAATTAATCATAATAAAATATGATCCATACAATTAATTATAGATGTCATCTGGCCAATTAATCAACTTAGATACTAAAAGATATCATCAAAATAATTAATCATATCATCTAGCAAATTATAAGCACATCCACTACAACAAATTAAGGAAAAATTAAAAAAATAAATAATAATAATAATAATAAAAAACAAAAAAACATAAAAAAAAACTATGAGTAATATGAACTATAATCATCATTATTCACTCTTTATAAAATTAAAAATAAAAGTAAGTGTTTTGATTTTCAGCAACATTATTTTTTCCTTTTTTAATTTATAAATAATTACATTAATTTCTGATCCTCCTCCATTAAAGAAAATGGATTTATGAAGAATAGCTTTTCTAGTATATTGATCAAATCAATGGACATCATCATCACTATTTAATTTTCATCGTTTTAAAGTAAATTTCTTTAAATACTTTTTTATTTGTCTCTTAGATTTTCATTTCGATTTGTAATTGATAAATTTGATCAGCAATTGATTTTCCAGAAATTTAAAGGAGTAGTTGTTGTATTATCAAGAGAGTGTGAAGAATTTAGTGGTTGTGATCATGTCGATTTTTGAAAACGGGGTCGCACCGAGTGAAAACCACTACGAAATGATTGATAACAATAGATCTAGACTGTTTTAGAACGTCGTCCAAACGACCATCTCGTACTGGTTGTACCAACCATGGTTTTTAATTTTGCTATATTAATTGACTAGATGAAATCTCGTGCGATGCACAATTTTTCATACATATATCTCAAGAAAAGATATTTTCTATATACTCTAATTTTTTTTTTTTATAATTATTTGATTTATTTTACAATTTAATAATTTCAAATAAAAAAAATAATAATTTAATTAAATTGATATTGCCAATTACAAAAGCATAATTTTTTTTAATGTAATTTATAATGCGGCTAAATTTATTGTTGTTTTGTATTTTATTCGTTGTTGTTAGTTATATGGCAATAATATAATATCTTTCACATTAAAAAAAAATTGTAAATATGTTATTTCATTGATTATATATAGGATAAAATCTTTACTGTGAAAAGATAATAATTTTTTTTTAAAATAATTTAAATCCTAAATCATTATTCATTGCTTTTTACACTTGAAATTAAACTCTCAAATCTATATATCATTTTGTATATTTCTTGTAATCTCTTGGTCTCTAACAAATTATCTGTCTTTTCAAATTTTTAGATATAAAA